AGGCGATGAGTGGATCGCGCGGTTCTGGTCCGCCTACGATGCCCTCGAAAAGTAAGTCTGACCGTGGCGAATCACCTCGGTCTGATCGTCTGACTAACGCAACCCGCAGCATCGACGCCCTCAAGGCCGGCCTCCCTACCGCTCAGCTGCTTCACCGTGCAATCTACCGCACGGGCACCTCCATAATCAACAAGAAGCAGATCAAGCACCTGCGCGCCTTCCGCATGTGCGTCGTCAAAGATGGCCCCGACGTGCCCCTGTTCACCCACCCCGCTGCCCTCACCAAGCTCGCCCTCTGGGTTGGCGAGGCGCTCGTTGAGCAGGAAAAGGACACGACGGGTCGCCTCTCGCACGGTGGCCGAGGCACGCCCCTTGTCGTGGCGTCCCTCAACGAGAAGCGCGGTGTCTACGTCGTCGTCGGCACCGGTGGTGGCGGCGGGCCAGACACGACGTTCCTCGACCGCGAGGCAGCGAAGAAGCGCCAGGCGGCGAAAGACGACAAGGCGAAAAAGAGGGAAGAGTCGCGGGCGGCCAAGGCCAAGATCAGGGAGGAGAAGCGTGCGGCACGGCAGGCGGAGGGAGACGAGGATGAGCTCGACGACGAGCTCGACACGGAGTCGGAGGCGTCCGACTCTGAGTCGGACGAAGAGGACATTGACGAAGACAAGGTCCAGGAACGCGGCTACGGTCTGAACAAGTTCGGGTCGGCGTTTCAGGAGGTCGTGGCGGAGACGAGCGCCCGGGTGCGCATTGACAGTTTCGAGCACTGCGTTGTCGAGGTGCGCAAGGAGGATCTCGGTGGGTTCTTGGAGAGCCTCAGCATGAAGGCTGTTGTTGGTTGAGCGTGGGGAGGAAAGGGGTCGTCATGAATGAAGGCGTTTTGTTCTTTCACAATGAGTGCTAGGGAGGGAATCAGGACAGGTGGAGGCACTCGTTTCACGGACTGCTGCACTTTCTGGATGGTCATGAGGCATATGGCGTGCGAATAGCTAGTCTGACAATGATATACTGTCTCCTGTGCGTGCTGAGGTCAACGCCAGTGATGTCGAATGCAGGTCGGTGGCGTAGCTTCGTAGGATGATGGTTTGAGAAGACCTCGTAGACACGGGCTTGCACGATCAGAAGGCTGCCCAGTACCGTTCCTGATGGAGGAGATGCTCAAGAAGAGACACTTTTGGTCCGGTGATCTCAGGACCAGAGACATACATATCCCGTCTCGTGGCGGCGGAACTGCAGTGGATGCCCAGACCCAGGCGTCTCACGACAGAGCACCGCATCGCGACAGCATCTTCCACGTTGCCCGCCAAGCAGATACGCGTATGTTGAATGTATTGTATGCACCCTACGCATCCTCTGCACGTACACGCTCCAATCACACCCGGAAACGGCGAGGCCTTGCTATTGAGGCTGCCACAACTCAGCGTTCGACGTGGCGCGCCAGCAGCTGGTCTCTGCGAATCAGGGGCATAGAATTGTCAGCGAGGCGAGGCTCATGCTCACAATATCGGCCCGGTGGGGGTATTGACCATGGATCTAGGTAATATTGGGACGCTGTCGCGCCTCTCTTGGTGTTTCGCTGTCAATGTCGCCCACCCTGAATGGCTAGCCCTGTTGTCTGTCTCCGTAATGATTCGTGACTTTAAAAACTCACGTCCAAAGACGACAGGAGGTCTAGAATGGAATCTGCATCGTCAGAAGCCCCAGCAATGGAGATCTTAGACGTCAGGCAGTGCCCGAGCCGCCAGGCTTGCAGCCGTTGCTACTGCCTTCATCATGTGGTCGATATGGCGCCAGTTCAATATTCTCATTGTTTCTGGACAGATTCTCCCTCAGTCCCTCGATCCCGACGGTTGAATCCCAGGTCAGGGTAGAGAACAGGGGTTTGGCCCAAGCATAGCCCTACAGCCCGCAGGTAAGCACAACAGCTGTCAGCACTAAGCCATCGTCCAGGGGCCAGCGGCTCGAAGCCAACCAAAGGCCACGCAGGTGTCGTAGAGATGCATGTATGACTTGCCATTTGGGGACATGCCAATGATGAGAGGGGTGGTCGACGCGTTGCGAGACGATAAAGAGACAAGTGGTGCGCTTTTGCAGGTTCTTTCGGTCACTTCCATTTCCATACCTTGGCGCACTGCTTTCCGTTGTAGTACGCAAAACGAGTCTCGAGCATCAAGACCTTGTACTCCATCGCTGCCGCTGTTGCACGCGCCGCTGTTGCTCGCACCGCCGTTGAGTTTTTCGACCAAACAGCCGACGAATATGGTGGCAAGCCAGAAACCATGGGCAGATGGCCCCTTCCCGCTCGTCAGCAATGCAAAGCTCAAGCTCAAGGTGCGCCTGTGACGGTCGCCGAAAGACATCGACAGAATACTAACAGGCGCAACCCCGTGAACAGGACGGAGAGACAGCCCAAGGCGCCAAGGAGATGGCTATGGAGATGATCATCGTTCACAATACCCTGCTGCGCATCATCAACTCGATCTACCTCCAGTGCATCAACGTGGGCGTCCGAGGCACCCAGCAGGACATTGACGACTTTGTCCAGTATGCCAGGCTCTGGCACAAGGGCGTGACGCATCACCACCATACCGAGGAGACGATGATTTTCCCTGACATTGAGGGGATGGCGGGCGTGCCCGGGTTGATGGAGGCCAACGTGGCACAGCACGAGGCATTCCACGACGGCATGGAATCATACAAGACGTATCTCGATAGAGTCAGCGCTGGGGAGGAGAAGTATGACGGCCTCAAGTTCAAGCAGATCATTGACTCTTTCGCAGACGTGCTGCACCAGCATCTCACAGATGAGATCGATACGCTGGTGAAGTTGCATGAGGAACACGCGGACAAGGCCGAGTGGGGGGTGTGGTACAAGAAGACAATGGAGGAGATCTTGAAGGCGACCAAGGACCCGGAGCACGCGGTAAGCCGTCGCCTTGGACTCAGGTGTGCTTCCTCGTGCCGGCGCGCTAATGTCATGAACAGACAACCGTTGTCCCCCTCATCTTCACGAACCACGAGAAGGAGTTTGAGAATGGGGTTTCCGCAAGCTGGCCTCCGCTGCCTTGGTTCGCTATGTTGATCGTAAAGTGGTGGTTCATACCGACGAACAAGCAATGGTGGCGATTCTCGGCGTGCGACGCGAACATGAAGCGACGGGAGTTGCCCTTCGTATGAGGGATGGACGATGGACGGCTGGTGATGCAACACTGGTAAAGCAAGGAACAGGTTCGGGTGGAGTTCTGGCAGCAAGCTGGCATGCAACTAAGCGGGCGTTCGTAGATCGGGGCATTCCAGTTCCAAACCGAGGCCGACGGTTGCGAAGAAGGCGAAGGCCAGGCGAGCACCCGCCTGAGTCAAGAAGAGTCCAGGCCTGGCCTATGTATGTCATCAAGCATGGAAGGTCGGCGAGGCATCCAATAGTGACGAGTCGCTCAACAGAACGTTTGGACGAATGACAGGAGCCCCCGGGCACGACCTTGTCGACGAGCTGAGATGGTCGGTGATGTGTGATGTGTTGGCGTGGGACACGGTGATTGGCGAGATGGGAGTGATCAGGGTGATGGAGGATGTGAGCGTTTCACGCAGGCAGCCTGGTCCAGACAGGTGCATGCGCACCGCACCAGACAAGACTGGCTCTCTCTGAACATGGGAGTGCAGCTTGAGTGCCTGTGACGAGCGACTTCCTCCCCCTACTGTGCTTCCACGAGCACCACCGAGTGGTTGCCAGTGAGGCTTTCGCTTGGTTCTCTCGGATTCCATGGCACTTCGTATCCGCATTGCTCATCTCGTACGTGGAGAGAACCGTTCCTCAAGTCAATAGCAATGGATACATGTACGTACCTCGTTGGTCATCATCGGGCATGCACTTTTCCAGGTGCGCATCAGGTCCCGAGCCT